CATAAGGGACAACAGCATGTAAGGAAGTCCAAGGCGAAGCCGGGCTTCCGCGTTAGTTGAGAAAATAACCCACCTGTCTCTATGTTTCATGATTCTAGGATCACCCAAACATGTCAACCAATTGCCGAGAAAAATGAATCTCCACAACAAAAGCCGAGAGTAAATACGTCTAAAATTAATTGAAAAACTTTCTATGAGAAGTTACCTCTTCAAAAGCGTTCTAGTTAGGTATTTCGGCGTCGAATATCGGTGTACTCTACCTTTTTTGAAGATGAAGTCGATGCCATAATGGGATATCTTGTCCACTTTCTTGACTGCTCTAAAAATTAGGGATAAATACTCTACCCAAAATAAAGGAACTTACTTTTCTCTGTAAATCGGAACAGCTTTACTTTCGTTTTTTGACTCCAGGGCACCGTTGTTTGATTGAAAATGCACAACAGAGTAACAGCATTTATACTTAGATATTTTTAAATATGATACTATTTTGCCTGTTCCGTTCCAAGTTTTTTTATAAATTGATTTTCTTCTATGTTTGAAAAAAAATTAGACGGGTTTCAGTTGCAGCGTTACTGAGAAAACTTATGACATTTCGCGACTTTTCATGTACAGTCAGATACGTTCAGTGATTTTGGCGTAGTAAAACAAATTTCGGCATCATAAAATTATTACTTATCTTTAGGGCACAAAACGTAACAGATTTGTAAGGAAATAATTTGTAAACTGACTGTGTTCTTCTTGTCCCGAGAATAGTGTGTTATATTATACGTTCACTTACCTCAATTTCATGGACGCAAAACAAAACTTTCTGTTTTGTGAACACATATAATTGAAAAAGTTCCTGCTCTTAATGAATGCTCTTTTAAAGTACAACACGCACAAACAAGAAACTCTTTTCCACAGCGTTTTCGTAGCGTAGGAAATTCTTTGGATATCATCAGAAGCTGAATTTCGCCCATTTCCGCCTCTATTTTCCCCCCGTATACTGATCTGAACGGAAACAGCATTTTGCGCCTCAAGTCCACCCAATGCACAAAATAAACAACCTCAAATGTGGGTTTAATACCCCACTAAATTTTGATCTTCACATTTCATGAGATATAGGCTGATGACCTCTAATGAGGCAGAAATGACCATTCTAGGGTCTCATGTCTTGTCGGTAATGTCCTTCCGCCTATATTCAAGCTGCCTCGTGGTGGAGGCTCGAGTGAGAGCTCTAATGGGAACATGGACGGACGAGTATGTCCTCTAACAGATCGGTGCACGCGTATCTGCTTCTGTATATCCCCGATCTAATGCCGTTAAGACTGCGAGCTCTTAGCTCAATGGTTAGGACGTTTGCCCTGACCGGAGAGATCGCAAGTTCAAAACTCGGGTGTGGCAACA